TTAGTTCACTAAATAGTTGACCTAGAATGTCTGACATGGGAAATCATATGCAGGCGAATTAGGAGGCACCACATCATTTTTTTATTGTGTGTCATTGCTGTTTATCACTCTTTACCAGATGAAATAGCATATCTTGATTCACCTCCAGATGATTCAGTGACTGCACAAAATAATTTCCCATGTGAATTAGGCTTCTTTTGGGATGACTTTATTACTTCTGAAAACAACTTACTAGTAAAAAAATTTAAATTTTTACTAGAAAGTTGTTTTAAGAAGAATAAGAAAGTCATCCCAAATGATACTTTTAGGGGTATCAATTTCGGGTCACAGGTCAGGTTCGGGTCGAACCCGAAACTGACCCGGCACTATTCGGATCAACCCGAACCCGACTCGTTTTTGAAAACGGGTCAGTTTTCCTGACCCGAAGCCGACCCGCTTCGGGTCCGGGTCAACCAGACACGACCTGAATGACCTGTTTCCAACAAAAAAATTGTTGGTTTTCGGGTCAAAAATGTGTCTATCTCATCTTTTTCGGGTCAAAAACGGGTCTATCTCCTCTTTTTCGGACCAAAAAATGGGTCAATCTCGTGTTGCTGGGTCAAAATCAGGTCAATTTCGGGTCAAAGGGTTAACCCGAACCCGACCCGTTTAGGATTCAGGTTGTCCCGAACCCGAAATTTCTGGGTCGGATTTTCGGGTCATGTCAAATATTGACACCCCTAGATGCTTTAGGCTTCTTTTGGAAACTATCCCAAACTAAACCTTATATATTCACATAAAGAGTTGAGTTAACTGCATAGCCTGAATACTCCTGTGGTATTAAAACTTATTAGAGAACAATTATTGATTAGCTGGTAAGATTAGTTCATATATGTTGACTCTCAAATGACAAGAAAAATAAATTCATAATTGGCTGTAAGAGATACTATAAAGACATTTTTGTTTTATTTAATTGTTTTCAATTTTTCATCATATAAGTAAAGTAAAAGTCAATTTTTTTCCTTTTAATGCGATTGCCCATTTCGAGCATTTTAATTTCTTTTTAAATTCTAAACTTTTATATTAGAAGCCATGAATCCAACCGTTGCTAATCGGAAGCCTCAGCCCCGAACGCCGGATTAGTATTTTAATTTGGAAGATACGTACTTCACTATCTTCCTCGTCGTTTGTTCGGTTCTTTCTACTCGTCGAGGAGAAGGCGACGGCGACCAAACAGTCCCAGGGAACGTGACTCCTCTCCCCATCTCGATCCATCTCTACTGGCTTCGTCCACGCCAAAAACAATGGAAGAGTAATCACACAACTAGAACCCTGAAACAAAAAGAGAGAGAAAGAGAGAGTGAGGGAGCTTGAATGCGGCTACAATGAAAACGGCTTCCACCTTCTTCTTCCTCCTCCTCCTGCTCTTCTTTTCTTCTCCATCATCTCCAAGCCCGACTCCCCTTCTCAACGACCAAGTTCTTGGCCTCATCGTCTTCAAAGCCGGTCTCCACGATCCAACCTCCGCCCTCTCCTCCTGGTCCGCCGACGATGCTTCCCCCTGTTCCTGGGCTCACATTACCTGCTCCTACTCTGCCACCGTCTCCTCCCTCTCCCTTTCCTTTCTTTCCCTGTCCTCCTCCTCCTCCTCCTCCTCCCTCCCTCCAGGCCTCGATCTCCTCCATTCCCTCCGCTCTCTTTCCCTCTCTTCCAACTCCTTGTCCGGCCCCTTCCCTTCCTCCCTCCCTTGCTCCTCCCTACGATTCCTGTCACTCTCCTCCAACCTCCTCTCCGGCCCTATCCATTCCTCCCTATCGCGCTGTTCCTTTCTTCTCCACCTCAACCTCTCCTCCAACCACCTGTCCGGCGACTTCTCCTTCATTTTCTCCTCCCTCACCCGCCTTCGCGTGCTAGACCTATCGTTTAATTCTCTATCCGGTCCTCTCCCTGATTCCATCGCTTATATCCACAACCTCAAGCTTCTCAACCTCTCCGGCAACCAGTTGTCCGGCCGCCTCCCTTTATCTCTCACTCTCCTTCCACATCTGATTTCCCTCGACCTCGCACGCAACCAATTCTCCGACGAGTTTCCGAAATGGATTTCCTTTTTAACCGCCCTCCGCCGTGTCGACCTTTCCGGTAATAGCCTCGCTGGAACCATTCCCACCAATCTATCAGCTTTGCAAAACCTCAGCTTTTTGGACCTGTCTTTTAACTCCCTTACCGGTAGTATCCCTGCTTCATTAGCGGACTGCTTGAATCTTACGGAGCTACGCCTCGGCGGCAATGCGCTTAGTGGAAACATTCCGCCGGCGATATTTGGTATGGCGCTAAAGGTTCTCGACCTCGCCGGGAACGAACTAGATGGAACAATCCCTCCTGGATCGGCAAAGCAGGGGAATGTGCTGCAATTGCTGAACCTTTCTGGAAACCGCCTCGTCGGAGAATTTCCACTGGAGTTGGCGATGTTCATCCATCTACAGTATCTGAACCTCTCATATAATGAGCTGCATTCTAACCTGCCCCCGGCGATTGGTGAGTTGAGGAATCTCTCGGTGCTCGATCTACGCAGCTCTGGTTTCTATGGCATGATTCATGGTAATATCTGCAACTCTGGAAGTATAACAATTCTTCAACTGGATGGCAATTCCTTCTCCGGCCAAATCCCAGTGGACATTGGAAACTGCTCCAATCTCCATTTGCTGTGAGTAGAACTACCAATGTATACATAAAGTTGAATGTTTTATCGCGTTTCTTTTGGTCATACAAAATTATACATTTCTGATTTCTTCAGGAGTTTATCCCACAATAAATTGACCGGATCAATCCCGGCGACAATGGCAGAGCTAACGAAGCTCGAGATTTTGAAGCTGGAGTTCAATTCGTTGAGTGGAGAAATCCCACAACAGCTTGGCTCTCTCCCCAATCTTGTCGCCTTAAACATTTCCAACAACCGTCTCATCGGCCGGCTTCCCGCCGCCGGCGTCTTCCCTAGCCTGGACCAGAGCGCCCTGCGCGGCAATCTTGGCCTCTGCTCCCCTCTCGTTTCCGAGCCTTGCGAAATGGATGACATTCCCAAGCCATTGGTCCTCGACCCCAACACCATCAACAAAGGGAAAGGAAACAAGCGAGGCCACCAAGCGCAGGCCGACAGCGAGGCTGAATCCCGCCACCGCCGCATCCTTAGCCTCTCCGCCATCATCGCTATCGTCGCCGCCTTCATCATCCTGGTCGGCGTCCTCGTCGTCACCCTCCTCAACATCTCCGCCCGTAAACGGCTGGAGAACGCCTTGGAGAGCATTTGCTCTACCTCTTCCCGCTCCGGCAACGCCGCCGCCATTGGCAAAATCGTAAATTTCGGTCCAAAAAGCTCCGACCTATCCAACTTTAACACCGACTCCCTCCTAACCAAAGCCACCGAGATTGGCCGGGGAGGCTTCGGCGTCGTCTACCGCGCCGCCGGGCCAGTCGCCATTCGCACGTTCTTCCCCAACTGCGCATTACAGAACCACGACGACTTCGACCGCGAGGTTCGCGCTCTTGCCAAGGCGAGCCACCCCAACCTCCTCGCCATCAAGGGTTATTACTTCACCCCACATATTCAACTCCTCATCACCGACTTCGTCGCCGGTGGTAGCCTCCACTCCCGCATCCACGGGGGCGGCTTGCCTCTCTCTTGGCCTGAGCGTTTCCACATCGCGCTCGGTATAGCCCGAGGCTTAGCCCATCTCCACCGCGCCTTCCGTCCGCCCGTAATCCACTACAACGTGAAGCCGAGCAATATCCTCCTCGACGCCGGCGGCGAAGCAAAGGTGGCTGATTTTGGACTGATCCGGCTACTTCGGCCTCGACCTGACCGACAGGGGGCTGGGCGGAGCGCGTTGGGGTACGCGGCGCCGGAGCTGTCGTGCGGGAGCTTGAGGGTAAGTGAGAAATGTGATGTGTATGGATTCGGGGTAATGCTATTAGAGCTTGTAACGGGAAGGAAGGCTGTAGAAGTTCGAGAGGATGAAATGGTCATGTTAGTAGATGAAGTGATGGCGGTGCTTGAAAGAGGAGAGGCCGAGGAGTGTGTGGATAGGAAGATGGGAGGCTTTGTGGAGGAGGAGGCGGTGCCATTGTTGAAGCTGGGATTGGTTTGTGCTTCGCAGACTCCCTCCAGTAGGCCAACTATGGCGGAGGTGGTACAGATTCTGGAGGTGATTAAGGCGCCAGTGATTGAGAGGATGGCTGCATTTAGCTGATGGTGGTGAATACTGTTCAATGATGATGATGATGATGCAGTGATTGTTGTTGTTAACCTGTTGGTTTGATATTTGTTATTTGAATTGAATCAAGGTGAATGATTCAGTTGTTGTTGTTTTGATTTTGTGGCCTGATGAATATAAATGTTCATGTTTTGATATAAGGATTTTCTTGTTTTGGTTACTGGATGTCTGCAGAAATTATACTTCAGGCTTTAATGGTCAGAACTCGACGCAGTACAGAATTTGCATTAATATGATTCGTTGTAGATTGACGACTGGAACAGTTTCCTGTAGGGATAAAAGGTGCTGGAATTCGTTGTAGCACATGAAGTGATTCTCTCTTAGAGGATTAGCTGATAGTCTGGTCCCAGTTTTTGATTAATAGATCCACTTTATGACAAATAGATAACTGAATGTGCTCACATGAATGCATAATTTCCTAAGAGCAGTATTATTAGTACTATTCCTATTATTATTATTATTATAGCTTTGATTATATTAAAAAAAAGAAGCTTTAAGATAGAGCAGGGAATGTAACTATCAAATCAGATGCATTGAAGCCATATTAATTACTACATAGTTGCATATGTTGTCTAAGATATTTTTACACAAGAAATTATTCAGTGAGGAGTCCAAACGGAAAGAATCATTTGGATTGCTGCGTATTTACTGCTCAGTAAATACGTAATAAATAAGCAAATGCTCACACAATATTCAGTGAATACCCACAAAATACTCAGTAATATTCACAATTGAGTATTTGCAAATACGCAACAAATCCAAACTATTCTCCCTATCAGGACTCCGCACATAATAATTTGATGGATGTTTGCCTTAGGCATTCCTCCCAACTAAGTCATACTTCCCCATATAAAATTACTTTATAGCTCAAACCCTTCTTTCTCTCTTCGTCCTTACTCAATAGCTTGCTCCAAATAATAGTCAGTCTACTATGACATTTGAAAACTTCTCTGCAACTTTGAAACACCTCATACAACTCAATAAAATTTCCTAACAATCACTACTATACTCAAACACCAAATTTCTCATTTTTAGGCAAAAGATTTTAGTGGATATCATAAAAAACACATCATCCTATCATGCAATATGGTATCCTTCTTTGAGCACCCAATATCTTAGAATTCTCATTGCAAGACAGAGCCTCATTATTTAAGTATACTAGTCAACTGTAAGTGAATCTTCTTCACCCTCTTTGATCTCCATAGATCTTGCAGCTTTCTTAGCTTCTACTACTTTACTTTTTTTCTTTTTGATACTTCAAGTGCTCTAGCTTCTCTTACATTAGACTCAACTTCCTTTTGGCTTTATAGTAAACTAGAATAATTGTAATATTCTCTCTCTCTCTCTCTCTCTCTCTCTCTCTCTCTCTCATGATGCATTATTCTAACTAATAACTAAGGTTAGTGCATCCAGAGGGAGCTAAACATACAGCAAGTTTGAAATAATTAGAATAATTCTAAAAATATTCATAGATAAAATATTGATAATTGAAAAAAAAAAGAGATAATAATATATCATCATTTTTTTGTGTTAAATATTCATCTCTTTGAGAGAAATTTAATGCTTTTAATGACTTATGAGTTGGGGGTTTATTGAGGGAGAGATCATTCTGTGTGGACACCGGACAGAGAGAGCTGTCCAGTTCTCACTATGGCTACAGTAAAAGTGCATGTGCTATAATAAAAGTGTAGCTCACAGCGCTTTTACTGTGAACAGACAGAACACCAGACGTTTCTCTCGTCCGGTGTCCGCACAGAATAATTCATCTTGTTGAGGTCATAGTACATCAAATAATTAGGTTTAAATGGACAAATCACTCAAAAATGATTGAGCCGTATTGCAATATGAGTCTAGGGGCAAGTTGCTCAAGCAAAAAAGGCAAATGTTGTGGTTGAGGGGACCATCACCTTTGAGGCTTATATGTGGCCTATGAAAAAATAACAACATTTACCTATTTTAATTATTTTTTTAATAAAATAGAAAAAAAAATAATTTAATAAATTGATGTTTTCCTCTTAATAATATTTGCCAAACACTCCCATCCTCTTTTATTTGAGGCTTGAAACACAAAGTAGGCACAAAAAAAAAAAAATTCCATGAAATTATTGATTAATTTTTATTTTTGTAAAAAAATATTAATGATAAATATATATAATTTCTACAAAATTAAGTTATACAAACATATAATAAATTTAAGGGATTTAATACTCAAAAGTTTCTAATATAATTATATATTTCATAATTGAAAACAATCTTATTTGCACACATAGAACTTTAGAATCTTGACATAAGTTAAAAAAATATCTCTTGCCATTACGCATCACACTTCATATGCTATGATTAACCGTTACTTTTATCCCTTATGGCATGCCATTGGGCGGAAGGAGTTGCGCAGTGGCTCACGACTTGGTTATTGACGAGTAGGCTTGAATTGTGCAAAGGCAGGTTGGGTCAGAGTTGGGCTCAATCGTAGTTTGGCCAAGGAGTCTAGGGTGCTTGACGGGCGCGGAAACATAGGTAATGATGCGAGGTACATGGTTATTCTTATAACTGATGAGTATCATATAAAACCCATTAATGTAGTGTTAGATGAAAAAATAGAAAGCTTATATATATATGTGGATATACATACATGCGACTTTATTATACATATATTACATATTTAACATTCAAAATTTAAATCTTACATTTCTACCACCCCAACAAAAATTTAACAACAGAAATACCACTCTGTATGCACCAACCCTCACGGCGTCGCTTCCTGCAGCAATCCCTAACCACGCACAGCAGCTTGTTTGCTCTTCCTGCGAACTCCTATCTTTGCTTTTTTTACCACCCGCTGAGATATCTACAAAGAAAGGATAGGTGAACTCTTGCTACGATCCTCTCCTCTCGCGAGAGAAATCTATGACGGAAAGAACCTACATAATGCTTACTAAATTAAACCTATAGAATGGTAAATAAGGCTTCTAATAGCAGAGCAAAGTCGGAGATGCAAGAATGAGAACATATACAAGAATGAGAACAGGTGGAGGACTGTTGATTGCAGAGACAATTTTATTATGCAATCTTAGCTTCCACTTCACAACTTGGAGATGTAAGAAGCTAAAGCTTAGTAAGAGGACTATCGAAATTACAAGAATGAGAAAGAGAGAGCCATGACTAGCTGAGTTCATATGATTAGCTGAGTACTCCAAAAGTATGATGCGCGAGAGAAATCTATGACGGAAAGATCAGGTGCTGACTCCAAAGGAAAGCACACGGGAGAAGAGAATTTCAGCGGGAAGAAAAAACGCAATGAGGGTTGGTGGAGATCGACTGGGTAGTATTTCTATTGTTAAATTAGTGTTTGAGTGGTAAAAATATAATATTTAAATTTTAGATATTAAGTATGTAATATAATTATAATAATGCGGTGTGTGTATGTAATCCCTCGTATATTCAACAAATTTAAATGCCAATAAATTTAAAATTTTAAGCGTTAATATGTAAATCCATTATTATTTAACATAAAATAATAATCGTAAGAATAATATTTTTTTGGGTGGAATGTAAGAATAATTTTTATAAAAAAATTATAACAAATTATTATAATATTTTCGTCCACATAAATGTCTAAACCCTTACCTTTCCAGAATCATTCTCGCCCGAATTATTGCATTCGGTCACCGGACGCCCAGAATAGGTTCGGACATCCAATAAAAACATGTCATGTCACATGCGCTTTTGACTGCACTTAGTTGCGCTTTAGGTGCGCTTTACCTGCGCTTTTGACTACGTTTTGACCTGCGCTTTACCTGCACTTTAGGTGTGCTTTACCTATGCTTTTGACGAGCTTAATTTAAAATAATATTTTATTAATATACGGGTCTATCTCCGCGTCCGGTGACCGGATGCAATAATTTGCCACCGTCAAAGCGGCGAATTATTGTGTCCGGTCACCTGACGTCCGGACAACCAATCCAGATACATCACCTCACCCAAATATATTGACCCCAATATATTTTGCTGACCTAAGGCGTCCGGATTAATTTATGGACCAACCGGGACACCGGACGAAATAATTAGCCCGTCAAAGGCGCTTGCCGGCGTCTGATCATCCTAACTCGAAAGGTAGAGATCAGGGTTTTGGCGGCGCAGAAGCGAAATCATGAACGCCCCCGATCGATACGAGCGATTCGTTGTACCCGAGGGCACGAAGAAGTATGCTTAAATCCGTCTTCATCCTCTCGATCTCCCTTCACTCCATTTCTCGAGCTTTTTCTGCGCCTTGTTGCATTTCTGCTGCTGCTACTGAAGTGCTGTTTTCTTCTGATTGATATTTTTGAAGAGCACCCGACTTCTATGTGATCGTTTACCTAATTTTGTCAGGGTCGCGTATGAGAGAGATACCAAGATTGTCAATGCCGCCTCTTTTACGATCGAGCGTGAAGATCATACCATTGGAAACATTCTGCGGATGTATGCTCTATGTTTCTTGGCAAATATTTTTTCTTCTTCTTTTGGTTTTGAATAAACTGTTTCTAATTATTCCCCACTTTAATGGTTGCAGGCAGCTGCATAGGGATCCAAATGTTCTGTTTGCTGGATATAAGCTTCCGCACCCCCTACAGTACAAGATCATAATAAGGGTGAGCTACACTTTTTATCAACGAGGATATTTTTTTTCTTACCCCTTTCCTCTGGCTAGGGTTTAGGGTATTATGCATGGTTCAAACTCTCTTCTTGTGCCTTGTAGATCCACACTGCCAGCCAGTCTTCTCCAACGCAGGCATATACTCAATCTATTGATGATCTTGACAGGGAGCTCGATCACCTGAAGAAATCCTTTGAGGTTTTTAATGGCGCCTTTCTTTTGTTTTAGATTGATGTTTTGTTTAGATTAAAACAAGTCTTCTCTTCATGCCTCATCTGTTCGGGTGGCATATTTAGGCCTATTCTGTGAAAATACTCAGTTGCGATTAATTGTTAGTTGTGGAAGACATAAAGACTAGCTCCTTCACATTCTTAAAATGCCATAGTTATTGAGTAAATAGCTTTCACAAACGTGTTTTATTTTTCTTTGTATAAGGAAAAAAACCAAATAACTTTTGCAAACATGATGCATTTATTTGACTCTACATATGTGACTTGATTGCTCTTCTTACTTCTACTACACATGCTTTATAAATTTTACGAGCTGGCTACTTCTTGTCCAATAAGTATGGGATTTATGCGTATACCTTTATATCCATTGTTGGATTTTTTTTTTCTTAAATTTTTTTTTCTCAAAATGATCATATTTAAATCTCTCAAAACTTCTTGTCATCGAAAAATAAAGAAAACCCTTTAATGAAACTCCATGTTTAAGTTGTTTGGGTGGGTACTTGGTATATTGCATTTTCCCAATGTGTATTTTTTCTGCTTCTTTCTAAATTCAAACCAAGAGAAACAACTTTTTCCTAGTTGATGTCAAGCTAGCATTAAGAAACCTAGTTTATGACAAGCATCAACAGCTTTTCCCCAATATTGCTATTTTTTCCCTAAATAATGATGTATTTCAGTCTGTTAAAATGTCAATACTCATGAATGCAACACGAGTAAGCATTTGGTTCAAGTGCAAGTTACTTGTGCAATTTTAAGTAATTATGAGCAACACAAGTAACTTTTTCTATGAGTAAATTTTTTTTTCTTTCCAATTTCAAGTAGCTTGTGCGTTCTCAGAGCAAGCATTGCAGCTCAGTATGTAAAATCATGACATTATGTGAAGGAATGAAACATTTATTCTGTAGAACTATAAGTACATTTGATTTTCCTTGCCTGATCATGCTTTGAATCCATTAGTCTTAACAGAAGTTCATTTCTCAGGGCTGCTACCAAAATTTGATATTGATTCAGTGGATAATTAATACTACATGTATTCTATCTAATGTCTTTTCTAGTTTTGTTGTCTTCTCTTTCATTTGAGCTTTCTTAAGCTTTGTTAGCTGCATTTGTCTTCTCAGATCAGTAGTTTAATTTATGTTTTTACTGTGTTAGCTGTCTTGCAATTTAGTTTTTTTCCATTTTGGTGGGAGAAACCCTATGTAAATTGGCAATGAAAGCTAGGTATGATGTGTAGACCTCTGGCATGAGGCATTTCTATGAAAAGAAAGTTCACATTGATTTTCTCTAGTTTGGAAGCTTTCACAGAAACAGAAAAGAACGTGCCAAGTGTCACTATGCGCTTCTAAAATATATTTTCTTTTCCAGAAACTTTCTTTCACCGTTCCGTTAGTCCATTCAAGAGAATTCATTGAATAAGATGTTCCTCCTTCAGCAAGTGGCTGAAATCCAAAACAGAATCTGTTGAAATACCTTTCTTTTAAGACAGGAGCTGTTTGATTGCTATAATTCATAATGCTTTGATTTTAAGAATACAATAGTAAAGTGAACGCAGTGTGGATTGATTTATTAATGCTGCTTTCTTTCTTGTAAAATAACTGCAGGAAAGCTAAAGTTTCTATTTGGTTGGATGTAAAATAAATCTAGTGTATTTTGAGTGCCTCGAGAAGTGTGGTATTGAATTATATGATCTCAGGTCGACAACAGTTATTTCTCAACACAGTCCTAAACACTCTGTTAGCTTCAGCCAATCTACTTATCTTGCAAAGGGCGTAAATTAACTAAATGTAGACGACCTTATTGGGCTTCACTCCCTTGACATTTCTTCAAACATATCAAATACCTTCTTTATATTGCTATCATTTGAATATCCTTTAATATGTTTTAGGTGATTGCATTAAATGAGATTGTCTTCTCTACTAGATCCTTGAACAGGGCATTGGTTTCAAAAACCCTCCCCTCATTAAAACAATTCATGTGCAAGCAAATTGAAAGTGTTTATAGTAGCCTTGATCCCCTTCCTCATTATCTTATCCCTTAATAAAACACAACCTCTGATTTTCCTTTTTTACAATTAATGGAAAGAAAAAACACTGGAACTGACATCAATTGCATCAAATCCTTTATTTTCCATTTTTCCAAGAATTGTAAAAGCATCCTCAAGCCTCCCTTATTGCACACATCAATGTCTAAAGTTCCATAACTGTAAGAATCAAGCATGATTCCATTTTCTTTCATGTCATCGAAAATTTCTAGATCGCTTTGGAGCTTACCTCTTGAGCCATACCCATGAATTATGGCATTTTAAGTCACAACACTAGGCATAATCTCAGACTCCTTAATGAATATCATTAAACCGTTTGCCTTCTTAAATTAACCCTTCTTTGCACATAACATTAATCAATATATGTATACAAAATATTAAAAAAAATGTATGTGATAATGATTTATGACATCCTTTGATCTTCAATTAGAACATTTCTACATGCAAGGTTCATGCCTTCTTCAAAAAAGAACTTAACATGGAGTTGCAGGATTTAGTCTTTGGTAGCATATTCTCATCTTTCATGATTTAGAAGAACTCTAGATATGTATTGGGATTGGAAGATTCTATGTTGGCATGAATGAGATTGAACACAATCAAGTGTTGCGTGGACAAAGCTACATTTGTGCGAATGTCAGATCATTGAAGACCTCATGAAGAGAAGCTTCAAAGAGTCATTGAGTGAGTGATTGAAGTGGAAGAGGGTCGGGTTGACAAAGATGAGAGTGGCTATAGTGGAGAGGGATTGGAGGCTGAGGTGGCGGTGACTTAAGTGCTAGATGAAGGAAGGGATGAGATTTGGAGAGTCTTTTTTTTTTTTTAAGATTTGGAGAGTCTTAAAGATGCACAAGGGCGGAAGAGACGAGTGGATTGGGGAGGAAGGAGAGGAAGAAATTTGATGTGAGGCCATTTTGATTTGAGTTTGGAGTCTATGATGGGATTGGCTGAGGGTTCATTGATGGAAAAAGAGGGTGTGAAAGTTTGTTAAGGATGTTAGGCCCTTATGAACTAGTCCAAGGCTAATTAAGAGAGAGGTGAATTAGTTGTTAAAGATCTTTTAAAACAAAACTACAAACCAAAACACCACAAAGAAATCAACGATGCGGAAGCAATAATAAGAAAAGAACACACCAGATTTATAGTGGTTCGGTCAAATTGTGACCTACGTCCACTCCTTGGAGGCACCCTCCAAGTATTGCACTAAACTAAGTGTCTCTCCTTTAGCCCCCATGGTTAGGCGGAGAAGCCCTTACAAAATCACTTCCACCTTCCCCGGTGCGGCGGAGTCACTGGGTCCTTTGACACCGAAGAGATCTTCTTCTTTGGTGAACTTCCCTCGAGATAAGCCTTGAATTCTACGGTATTCAGGTGCGAGCTTGCCGGAGCAACCGTGTGGAACCCCCTCCACACTCCCTTGAGTACCCCCTCACAGGATCTTCTCCCTCTCTCAAACTCCACTCTTTCCTCACTCCCTTTCAAGCTCTCTCTTCAAGTTTCCCCCAAAAGAACGAGCTACAATGACTGCCAAAGACACTTACAAAGTGTCATGTCATAGCTTAAATAGAATATCTCAAAACGAGCTCATTAATGCAAGTTGCTGACATTATCGTCCAGGATGATAGGTATATTGTCATGTACGATCAGTACAATTTAAGCCAAATCAGCCGGGACGATTTGAGACGATCAAAAGAAATTTGTTCTTATCGTCCAGGACGATAATATATCGTCCTGGATAATAAGAACAAATCGTGGAATATCGTCCTGAACATCGCCCTGAAAAATAGTTGTCTGATGTCCAATCGTCCAGCATATCGGCCTGGACGATTTTGCGATCGTCCAGGACGATTTGATCGTGTAATCAAGTCATAATTGCTTTCCATAAATTCCAGAGAAATTTTGAAAAAATTGTCCTGGATCGTCCTGAATGATATTTTATAGTCCTGGACGATCCACCTGGATGATGTCCAAAAATAAGTAATTCCTAAATAGATATGGCGGCAGATTCTTTCTGTTTTGAGCCTATCGTCCTTGCCGATACAAAATCGTCCAGGACGATGTGTTTTGCATAATGACGTCTGCTTTAATGAGGATGCCCTAATCAGGGTTTCTGCTTTTGAACCGATCGTCCAGGCCGATATAAATATCGTCCCGGACGATGTTACCAAAAACAGTAAACTTTAGGGAACAGTCAGAAAATCTTCCAAGTTACAAATCATCAGGAGCCACACCAAATACAATAGACTTAAGAAAGGAAAAAATGTACAAACTGACTCATACCTAGTCTATTTAATCTTGAGCTGGTTCCAAATTGCAGTTCGATCGTGTGAACCTGAAATGTCAGTAGATAAGACAGTTGTAGAGAAAAAAGAATGTTTTCTATCATCAAAATCATAAGCCATAGATCCGCAACATGGTGGTGGAGTGCCGAGGCAAGAGCAAGAGATGGAGTTGAAAGTACAATATAACACGCCATGATTTAGCCGTTTTGAAATGCAAGAAATTGAGGATTTTAGGAATTTAAGGTGAGACCATTCTGATTTGAGGATGGAGTTTGTGATGGAATTGGCGAGGGTTCATTGATGGTGGAAGGAGGAATAGTGGTGGAGCGCGGAGGCATGAGTGAGAGATTGAATAGAAAGGACGACAAATGCGCCCAATTTGGCTGCTTTTGAAATGCTAAAAATTGAGGATTTTGGGCGCATCAAATGCCTAAATATTGTACCATGCACTCATTTTAACTCTCACCCAACACCAAAAAATCAAAACCCATGCAAACAGCTTGCTTCACACCTATAATATTTGCTAAATAACCCCATACTGAAATTGAGGATTTTAGGAATTTGAGGTGAGACCATTCTGATATGAGAATGGAATATGATGGAATTGGCTGAGGGTTCTCATTAATGACAGAAAGAGAAATATTGGTG